AGCGGATCATATCAAGACTCCGGACCGGCCATGCGAGGATTTCCTGTAATTTCGATGGGACACCTTTCCGCAAGGTCTGTTCAATTTTCAGCATCCCCGCCTCGGTGGAACACGTGCTATGTGTCTGCCCGGAAGTTCCAGAAGCTACGCGAACAACATGGACTCCCGGAGAACATCAGTAATCTGCTTGGCTACGACCCCTCGACGTTGGCTGCGCTGATTGCCTTTCTGAAAGAAGCCCACTTGTATGATCAAATCTAGCCCCCCGTCGGTGGCTGCACTGATCGTGTGCTTTTTACGTTTCTATTTTTTCTCTGCCGTCGGGGTTTCTCCGCCGGACCGGGCACTGTCTGCTACGGTGGAGCTCTACCTTGTTCGCGCAACCAGTCCTCACCACAGCCCCGATCTAATCCTCACCTTACATTAAGTTTTTAAAATGTTGTCTGTCTCATTCGTTGGGTAATCACAGCCAGTTATACGTCACGTTCATGTCAAATTGAAACCTATTGTTTAGGCAGGATTTAGCCTGATCATCTGCTGTATAACGTGTAGCCTATGGCTAAAAATCACGGTAATAAAGAAAAAAAAATACACAATGATTGCTTAAACATAAAATGATTAAATTTTAATCATTCTTTGTTCAGTAATATTTTTGAGTGAACAATTTCAATGACAGCTGTTCAGCAGTGCTCCCATTCAATTTAATGAACCATCCAATGCCTACGAGATTGTGCCGAAGTTGTGCCGTAGAACACTTTTTCACTTTTCCTGATAAAATTGATTCATCGGAGATGCTCCAAAACCTGATCTACAGTCGCAAAAAATAATTCTGTATCACGCAAGGATCCTCCTGATGTTCAGGAATATTGTTGTTGAGAAAAATTGAAAATTAGAATAGTGCCTTTTAGTGGTTATGATCTTTCGGATTTCTTTCTCATCTCTTTTCCTTTGGTTTGGTTTGTTTTTTCCGTCGATCTTGTTTTCCGTGCTGAGCACCAATGCTACCGACGTGCCAGGAAGGCAGCTCCCACACCTGGACCCTACCTATCGACCCATCAACTCATGAACCGGGGACCAACGGCTTTACTTCACATCCGAAGGAAGGCGTGATCAGAGATGTTATGCCTCAGAACATCCCGGCGGCGCCGACTGGGATTGAACCCAGGCCTGCTGGGGTGAGAGGTAATCACGCTTACCACTACACCACCGGCGCCGTTAAATCTTTCTCTTCTCATTACCAATGGAAATTGGCAAGATGTTCAATGAAAAATGCTTAAAATTGCGTTGTGAAAAGTCCTAATTCTGATGTAAAAAAAAAACGGTTTGGTTGACGATTCCTCTAGAACCCACGTGGCGCGTTCTACGTTGGTGGTGCATTAAAAAGGCCTATGAGCTTTTGGATATGTCAGCTGTCACTTCCTAATTGGTGATCCAACGATAGCGCTCGTGGCGAATAGGAGAAATAGAAAAATGATGATGGTTTCAGAATTTTCGCCCTCATCACTCTTTTGAGGGTTCCCTTATTCACCACCAGAGGTTGAATCGATCGTTTAGTTTCCATTAAGACATATAGGCGCATGCAACAGAAACTAAGTGATAAAACTGAAGATTTATAAAACCATCCCAGCGGTTATGATCTTCCTGATTTTTAATGTGTGGCTCTTGGTGTGGCTATTTGAGCTGTCGATCAGTTTAAAAAATAGAAAAAAATACCACTGCCGATGGAAATTTGCAAGATATATATAAAAGTATGCGTTAATTTGAGATGTAAAACTGTAATTTTGATGTAAAACTGTAATTTTGATGTAAACAAACGGTTTGGTGGACGTTTTCTCTCATAATACGCCTATATAATAGAAACTAAGCGATCAATTCAACCTCTGGTGGTGAATAGGAGAACGCCAAAAAAGAGTGTTGTGAGCAGACATTTTTGCCGTGAGAGACATTGGAAGCGGAACACTTTTTCACTTTTCCTGATAAATTGATTCATCTGAGATGCTCAAAAGCTACAGTTGAAAAAATTAATTCTGTATCGTTTTTGCACGGCTCCTGCGGTGTATAGGAATATTTTTGATGAATAAAATGGAAAATTGAATAGTGCCTTTATGGTTATGATCATTTGGATTTCTTATGTGTTAATAGTTTAGGTGAAAAACAGTTCAGATCTGTGGAAAATCGTAAAAAAATGCTTTAAATTGCGCTGTGAAAAATCATAATTCCGATCTAAACAAACGGTTTGGTTGACGTTTCCTCTCAAACCCGCATGGCTCACTCTACGTTGGTGATGAATAGAAGAACTATGAGAGTGATGATGGTTCAAGGGGTAAGTCACTCAGCACATTGTGCCGAAATTAGATTCGGCAAAGCTTGGGCACATCCATCTGCAAACCTTCGGCTCAACCTCGGAATTGGATTGTTGTAATAAAATGGGAGCACTGTTAGACAACTGTAATTGAGCTTGTTCACAACATTACGTGCTGTTTGACTGTATATTCAGAAACATCCTCTAATTGAATATACCAGAGTAACTCAGACCAGTTGTTCACTTATAGATCTAAATACGAAATGTAGGTTCTAGAGTGGGCTCAAGAGAGAGAGATGCAGTTAATCAGACGCCATTAGTACCCTTAATTCAAATAATGCTGCAACTCATACAAAACAAACTACAGAAGTCTATTCATCATCCTCTATAGTCGGTCTCCAACAATGTTCCCCACCGGTTCCAACTCTTTCCAGCCGCTGATAGGCCGTTACTTTATGTCACGAAAGGCTAGGTTTCAGGTCTGCTTTTGAGGGCATTATAAAACCCTAAAACACAGGACTTTTAATATCCAATAAACGCAAAATACCGAAATTTTGGATTCCCGCCACTTCCCACGTCATCCTCAATCCGATTTATCCTTGCAATTTCAAACCAAAACATTCAAGGTGTCAGAAATACCGGGTTGCCGGAATGGATATTTTACAAGCAATCGCAGCTTGTTCTATGACTGGCATAATCGGCACACCTGTGGCACACTTTTGGCATACTGACAAAAAAGATGACCCAAGATTGGTGAGCGGATCTGACCCCTTGTGATGGTTTCAAAATTTTACACGGTGAGGTATACGAGTGAGTGTAATCTTAAAATGCTTTTATTTTGCAAATGGAGTAGTTAAATTAAATCTGGTTAGTGCTACGTTCGTAGAAAACATAAGGACTACTCAATAGACATATAATATAAAAAAAAAACATTATTTCTTTTCAGATTTTTAGGTCTATACATAGGTTTCAGCTTTTCTACCACTGTAGCAGCAACCAGATTTAAATAAAATGGCCGATTAGCGAGCAAGCTTGTTTTCCGCGAGAAGCCGAGAGATGTCGTTACTGAGGTCCTATGACTTGAGATACTATGTTTACAAGAAAAACTTTTTCAAAGAGTTACGTCTGTTTGTCTGTGGTCTGATGTTGTATTTGCAAGCTAATACAACCTTTCACTACACTGTATTGTAATAGTTTCGGATAATTGTTTCACTGAACTGTGTTTATGCGAAGAGAAAATCGATCTTCGCAGCTAGGCCATTATGATTCTGAACGCTAGATTGTCACCTTTTCTGATTAATGTATCCATGGGGGGTGCTTGAAATCGTCATCGGCAGATGCTTCTATATATTTTTCATGAGAAAAATGATGATTTATAAAATTGTACCAGCGGTTATGATCTTTCGGATGTTTAATGTGTTGTTATTTGAGCTGTAAATTAGTTTAGATCTGTAGAAAATCGTAAAATGAAACCTCTTCCTATGTAAATTTGCATTATGTGCAATAAGATATGCATTATTTTGAGTTTTGAATATCGTCATTATGATGTAAACAAACGGTATGGCTGACATTTTCCTCTCAAAATCACCAAGCCCACTCTACATTGCAGGTACATCGAAACAGCCTATACCTTATCGATGCAAATAAATCCAGATAGAGCTGGAATTAGGACGTAACAGCTTTTGTAAACAATGACTTCTCTCGACGATTTCTCGAAAGTCATGGCTCTCCCTGGCAAATCGACATCACCATCGAGTAGGGGAAGACCTCCCCTACTCGATGGATATGTTGGTTTGTGTAGGCGTGCCTTGAATTCCTAGAAATCAACGAGAGAAGTCATTGTTAACAAAGACTGTTACGCCCTAATTCCAGCTCTATCTAGAAATCAGTGATAATGTTTTGAAACTTTAAATCAAGCGCCGATTGGAACAAACTGCTGTCTTCCAGAAATTTACTAGCCGCCAGCAACTGAAAGGAGTGCCACTTAATTTTGTCACCGTCATGCAATCCACTAACAATTCCACTACACATTTATCAATTCCACTTCCCATTTCTAATTATTTCCAATTTGCAGCACGGCCTTCTTCGATCTCTAGAAAAACACATTTGTAAAATCACTCAAAACCTGTGAACAGAGTTGCCAAACATAAATAGTTTAGTACGCAATTTATTCAATAGACGTCTTTGCGTTTTGTTTCGAATCATTCAATCCTTAAGCATGGTGAAAACATTGACATTGACACAAGATTCACCGATAGGCCGTAGTATGCAAAACAAGCCCAAACATAAACCTAGAATTTCAAACCTCCTTGAAATGCTAAGAAAGCGCTAAATTACCTTTCATACGGCAAAAAGCCACCCTGTAGGTCCTTTTTCACTCAAAACGGGCACATCCCCACGCCACATGAGGCTCCTGGGAGCGTGAGCGAAAGCCTTCAATTAGATTGTCGACCGTCGGTCTGTCGGTCGAACGGAACGGTCCGAGCGGATATTCTAATTCAACTTAGCAAAAAAGCTGCAGCAGCAGAAAGGGGAAGCAAAACATTGTATCGTGACCCAAAGTGACGGCACGATGTCACGCAAAAGTTATTTTGCTAATGACCTTCGGTGCTCGGAGCTCGGTTCTCTTTGTGTTCTAAATAGCACGTCCAAATGGAAATGGCTTTATTTGAAATGTGTTTTCTTTTTTTCTTTCCAGGAACTGGGCACCTACCTGGGAGCGTTGAAGTGCGTCCGGGAGAACTGTCCGCAGGGTCGAATGGTTTCGCTGAATCCCCTGAAGGTGTCATCCGTTTGGCAGTGCGACTCGTGTGGGCTCACCATGAGTAATGCCAAGGTCACCAAGATCCAGGAGATTGCCGGCCGGATGATCCTGAACAATGCCGTCAAGAAGGACGCGGCGTATATTGTGGAGTACCTGAACGATCACGTGTCCAAGTTTCTACTACCGTGCAATCAGTTTACGGTGGAGCTGAAGCTTCAGGCCATCCGGAAGATCCAGGACGATTCCAGTTTGGAGTTGCTGGTGGAGAAGGAGAAGTACTGCTTGGACATTTTGGAGATACTGGCCAAGCTGAGCTATGGCGAGTGCTTCGTAAAGGGAGTGCTGTGCTACGAGCTGTTCAAGGCGCGGATGGTCATTGCCGCCCGGCAGGAGACGGTTGGTTTGATTGAAATGCCTTAAAACCATCAATGTTTGAATGGTAATTTTTATCTATTTTAGTCGTTTCCGGACGAGGATGTGCTTGCTCACCTGCGCAGTGCCTGGATTATTCTGGGCTGCAGCGGAAATCGGCCCCGGGACTTGGATCAACTCGCTCAAAGCCACGGTTGTAAAGTTTGACAATCGACAGTTTCAAAACGATGCGATCAGTAGGTGCTGGAAGAGGAGGAAGAATATAAAAAATAAGAAGAACAATCAAACGGTTGTGCTTCCGTTGTCCTTAGTAACAAGAATTGATACGGAAACAGAGGGTTGTTTTAGTCAGCAATCAAAGCAAGGCACCCGCACAAACACGAACGATGCACATTTTTGTTCCACACAGTGATATAATTACAGAATAGGAAAGCTAATAAGCAAAATAGCAGAGTGCGATGGTCGATGAGATTTCAAGTTTGATTGACAGGTAGCGTGCATTTAGGACAATTTTGCTCACAAGAAAACAGTTTTTTTTTTCTCTTAAAGACAGCGAAGGAATTTGAAACGTACACGAAATGACACTGACACTCGCGTTGCCGTGGTGATTTGCGTTTTTTTCTCCCACGCATACTCTAGCTTTAGGCCCCCGATGGACCTAAATACGATTTTGAAACATTTTTATATCGTACTGAAGGAGACACAAGCAAAATTGAATGCGTCGTTCTTGCTCTAGGTGAAACGGCACTATGAATGAAATAAGAAGACAAAAAATGAAGTAAATTAACACATGTTATACACTCGGATTGACGCACAAAGACTGGCACCTTTCGCGCACCTCGTCCTTCTCTAAATCGTTAAACTGTCCCAATGTACACATCTCTATCCGCCTTCTTTCCGACCAGCTATTTACATTTCTCTAATTCTAGCCGCACGGTTTCGCGTCTTTCAAATCTGTCCATTTGTTGACATAGAAAAAAAAATAAGACTAGGTATCTATTTCCAGCCATTACACCGACAAGCGTGAGACTCTTTAGGCTAAGTCCTCTTCCCGTTTGTCGAAAACATTATGAAAGTTTTCAGCTCCTTTTACAATTTTAAATCTTAAAACGATCTTCTCAAAAGGCAGCAGATGGAAATCAACGTTAAAATATCAACCCCAAAAGAATAAAAGACGAAGGAAATGAAATCACAAAATATCGAAATATTTATTCTCCCTCTCTTTCTAGTCAAGTTCCAAACCAATATAATATAGGCAGCAGATTTTCCCTCAACAATTTAGACAAATCAATACGAAGTAAAGTACATACAAACACACAAATATAACTATATTTTCTCTATACCAAATTAAGCAAATGAATATGAGATGAATAAACTTTACGCTTTAAAACAAAAAAGAAACGAAATAGTGTCAGAGCGAGTATATGAATTCGAAAGCAATTAAAAGTTGGCGGAAGCCACCTGTGGTCCTATTTTTGTAATAATCTGTTGCTTTCTTATTCGGCGTGGGACAGGAGAGCGACCACGTGGTTTGCTCGTTACATGATTCTCGCTCTCGTGCTCGTGGTTTGAAATTCTCTCGCCGCGAGCTGAGGAGAGAGCGAGAGTTGGCCGAGCTGTGGGTGGGAGCAACAACCTTTGGCCTCTGTGGGATGCGATGCGAGATGCAGCGAGTTTGCTGGATTGGGTTTTCTTTCCACGAATAAGAGTGAGAAGGTGGTGGGGTGATTGAGTTTTCCATCGAGCGTTACACGGTCGATGAGAGTAATTTATTAGCTGAGTCGAATTCAGCTCAAAATCGCAAAAAAAGTTGGTTTACTTCGTTCAAAATGTTACGCAATCTAGAAGTAGGTATACTATGTACTTCATCATATTCAAGAAGTGTTTCCTTGAAATCGTTGAAAATATTACTCATTCACTGGGTAACCCCTTTTTCAATTTTGAGTCAGATTCGACTCAATTTTGAGTAACTCTCATTGGCCGTGGGAGAATGGAAGAGAAATGCAGAGTGATGTTTGCAAGCTCAAATGGTTTGCATTTTGGCTAGATGAACGCTAACGCTCACATCACGGCCGTTGAATACAACTCTATTTTGAGATCCGTTCACTCAAATTTATGGCGCCACAATATCAGTTTTCAATCGTAGGTTACTCATAGATTGAGTTAAATTTTCCTCGTTTTCCCAGGAATATTTCATAAACGAACAGATTGTTGGGCAAAAGCGAGGAAAATTTTACTCAGTCTATGAGCAAAAACATGAGCATGATTGACCGCCCACGATTGCTACTCTATTATTGCTGTAATTACACAGAGAATCAATAGCCGATGCTTAGGACAAGAATTCATCTTCAATGAGTAAAAACTGGTGATCTCAAACTAGGCAATACTAACGGCGCCGGTGGTGTAGTGGTAAGCGTGATTACCTCTCACCCCAGCAGGCCTGGGTTCAATCCCAGTCGGCGCCGCCGGGATGCTCTGAGGCATAACATCTCTGATCACGCCTTCCTTCGGATGGGAAGTAAAGCCGTTGGTCCCCGGTTCATGAGCTGATGGGTCGATAGGTAGGGTCCAGGTGTGGGAGCTGCCTTCCTGGCGTCGGTAGCATTGGTGCTCAGCACGGAAAACAAGATCGACGGAAAAAACAAACCAAAGGAAAAAAACTAGGCAATACCAGCGCCGGCCGCGCAAGCAAGCAGGTCAAGAAAGGAATGGGTAGGTAATTGGTAATTGAATCCTTAGCGTCATGTAGTTTATCCAAAAATCTATTCCACCACATGACTTCTTGTATTGTCGTTGAGAGTGCCATATATTCACCTTCTGTAGTTGATAAAGCAACAGTGGATTACTTTCGGGAACTCCACGATACAGCACCGCCGTTTTGAACGAAGACGTAGCCGCTGAAGGATCGCCTCGTCTCAGGATCGTTTCCCCAATCCACATGACTATAGCCCAATAGTTTGGAATCACTAGTTTTTCGGTACGACAGCTTGCATGCTTTGGTGCCTTGGAGATAACGAAGTGAGCAAATTCTGGATCGCTGCAATAACTGATTACTACACTGATCGCGTGCCTAATATCGGGACTTATGTGCTGTGCAATGAACCTATCAGTTCACAAAATGGATCTTTTTCTTTTCGTTCTCGTTTTTAGAACACATCTCCTTAGAAAACCGACGGTTTACGTCAAGAGGAGTTCAAGCTGGATTGCAATCCTTCATATTGAATTTCTCAAGTAACTTATCGATATATAGCTCTTGATCGATGGAAACTCCACATCTGGTTCTAGTCAGGCGCACCATCCATCGTTGGAGAGAATGAAGAAATCGTCGACATGAACTGCAATAATGACTAGCTTGTCTCTGAGGATGCGATAGTAAACACAGGTGTCATACTTCGATCGAATCAATCCTATACGCTTCAGTTACTTGTCCAGCTTCCTGTTCCACACTCTCCTGGCCGGCTTCAAACCATAAAAGGCCTACTTCAATCTGCAAACCTTGCTTGTCGTGGAATCCTACTGGTTGTTCCATATATATCTCCTCGTCGTTCAAGTCACCCTGTAGAAAAGCTGTCACAGCGTCCATTTGATGCACTTGGAGACTGTGCCGCCAGTGCCAAGAGATATCGAATTGTTGCGTAACGGACGACAGGCGAATAAGTCTCGTTGTAATCCACACCCTCTGCATTTGTTTTGAGCTTGAATACCCATTTGTTCTTCAATGGCTTCCGTCCTTCCGGGAGATAAACGAGACACCACGTCCCATTGTCGCATAACGGTTAGTACTCTGACTGCATTGCTGCTATCCACTGATCCAGAGCTTCTTGTACTGTCTGTAGATCAATCATAGTCTGCGGAATACAAACCAGCGGGGAATTGCTGTTGCAAATGGAATCGTCATTACACTTCCGTAGGACAGGGCGCTCCTAGCCACTATTCCCAGAATAGTGTTGCAAATCAACTGCTTCATCCGGTGACCGGTTCAGGGGTTGTTGAACGTTGATCATCTCATCATTTTGAGGAACGGCACTGTACGTCATCTTAAAATCAGTATACAGTCAAGATTCCTATATAGTACGGTTAATAAGGACCGTACTATAGGAACCGGCATTAACGAATACACGTAGCATTTGGGATTAGACTGATTGTACGGCAATTTGAAGAGATAACTTCCTGATGTGAGGCCTCCCTTAGCTCAGTCGGTAAAGGCGCAGCTACAAAGCAAGACCATGCTGGAGGCGGCTGGGTTCGAATCCCGGTCCGGTCTAGGAATTTTTCGGGTTGGAAAATTTCTCGACTTCCCTGGGCTTAGAGTATAATTCGACAGTGAGCATTCATAAGGGCGTATACGCGATGATCGATTCTCTTCATCGATTTTCTCTTTTGTTAATCACTCGCTAGATTTAACGTTTGTCGGTGCGTTTGCTGTTGCTTTTGATAGTCAATGCAACCTGTTACAACTCTACATTGAACAAATTCTACAAAATTGTTTCGCTTAGCTGTAGCAATGCAAAGAGAAAATCGATGAAGAGAATCGATCATCGCGTATACGCCCTTATGCATGCTCACTGTCGAATTGTACTTGCCACACAATTATACCATTGCAAAAATAGTACCTGGCATCGAAAGCTCTCAATTAATAACTGTGGAAGTGCATCTAGAACACTAAGTTGAGAGCACACAATAAGCTAATATGCGATAAGCAATAAGCTTGAAATGCGAAAAAGAAGAAAGAAAAAAGAAGAACTTCCTGATGTCTTCTGAGAAGTTGTTAAGCAGAAAGTTGGCCACCTTTTGGGATGATTAAGTTTCCGGTAGGACACAAGTCTGATCCTTTGGAAGATCCGGAATATGCGTAAAAGTGGCCAATTCATGAAACTGATCCTAGAGCTCCGCGGATTTTTCGAAACCACTAATAAACGTCTTATCAGAATGAATTCGGAGTTGTAACCGAAATATGGACCCTGGGGACCACGGGATAGTTCACCGGAAGATCCGGAACTTCCTTAAAGTGGTCAATACATGAAACTGATCCTAAAGCTCTGCGGATTTTTCGAATCCACTCATAAACGTCTTACCAGAATGAATTCGGAGTTGTAACCGAAATATGGACCCTGGGGACCACGGGATGGTTCACCGAAAGATCCGGAACATCCGTAAATGTGGTCAATTCATGAAACTGATCCTAGAGCTCTGCGGATTTTTCGAAACCACTCATAAACGTCTTATCAAAATGAATTGGGAGTTGTGATCGAAAAATGGACCCTGGGACTTACGGGATGGTCCACTAGAAGATCCGGAACATCCGTAAAAGTGGCCAATTCATGAAACTGAGCTCCGCGGCTTTTTCGAAACCACTCATAAACGTCTTATCAGAATGAATTCGGAGTTGTGACCGGAATATGGACCCTGGGGACTACAGGATGGTTTATCGGAAGATCCGGAACATCCGTAAAAGTGGCCAATTCATGAAACTGATCCTACAGCTCCGCGGGTTTTTAGAAACCACTCCTAGACACCTTAACAGATGAATTCGGAGTTGAGTTCAGAATATGGACTCTGGAGACTACGGGATGGTTCCACCGGAAGATCTGTAACATCCTTAAAAGTGCTCATTTCAGTGTTCACTCGACTGCCGACAAAAGCAGGCCACTCTCGATGTGTGCTACGCGATCGTCTGTTTTCTCGGCAGCAACCATTGTGTGGTCCTCCTCATTGTTCTTCATCAGCTGTTCTTTCGGTCGATGCGTCGTCGACTTTGGAAAGCAACCGTTTCGTGATGAGTGTGTGAGTGCTGACCACGTTTTGCGTCCATTTCTGCAATGGACGCGCTCTGACCCTCGTTGGCGTACAACAATTTGCCATACAATGAAACCACTGGAAGTGGCTCCAGTTCTGATGGAGGAGGCTTTTTGGATAGCGGAAAATAAAGTGTTTATTGTGTTGTACCTTTTGACTATAGTTTTAAGATGTATTGGATAGTGACCAAGAATCCTCGGCTCTGTAAAGTTAATTCGGTTGAGCCTTATCAAATAAATTAATAAACAAAAAAAAAAAAATAATAGTGCTCATTTCATGAAACTGATCTTAGGGCTCCACGGTTTTTTAGAAAGCACTCCTAGACATCTTATCACAATCAAATCGGAGTTTTGACCAGACAGTTTATACTGGGAACCACGGGATGGTCCATTTACAGATCAGGAAGCTCATTGAAAGTGATTAATTCATAAAACTGATCTTAGAGGTTGTTTTTTTCAAAACTACTCATAAATTAATATAAATAATAACTAATAAGGCGATGTT